CTTTTTCCTCGTATGTTAATGGACAGTTTAAATAAAAAGAAATATCTAAATTAGTGTTTTCATAAAATCAGGCCTGAAAAAATTCATAGAGAATTTGGCTCCATAAACTATTTTTAATTTATAATTTAGTTCTAGTTAGAACGATGTGAATACAACATATATCTCTTATCAGATAACAGAGTAACGCTATTTTCGTGACAGTTTTTCGGTTATGTGCCAGAGCTAACCCCCAATGCCATCCTAATTATCCTAGTTATCCTAATTATACGGCTAGGCGTGCTCTACAATGCTAGATCCGTGCTTTGGAACTCTAATGCCGCCATTTAACTGTAAGTTTTGACAACTCCTGTTCATATTATATCAAACACTAAACTAAATTAGAAAAAAAAACAACTATAAATAATTATAGTTGCATTATAAATATATATATTGACTGTATATATATATGTATTGACCGGTCTAGTTAACAATACTTGCAAAATACATGTTATCTACTTACTTATAGAACACATAAATACGTACACATAAATATAATATAATAATTATAAAAATACCGAATACCGGAATGATACTGTCAATTCATGTGCAAGGTAAAGTATAATATTATTATGGATTACGCTACACAATCGTATCCATTCTGGAGAATAGTAGTGCAGTTGAGTGTTTTCTTCTATATTATAAATATAAGATTTTTAGTCCGTTCATTATTCAATATTTGATTTGTGTTGTGAATAAAAAGAAAGCTTAAAGATATTCATTGATTTGTGTTGTAAATTGGTCTGTACTCAAATTGTATTAGGTAACTAATGTAATATTTTAAGTTTTGTATTCTTTAATGTTTATATCTATGTGGTTTTGCTATTTTTTTTAAATTATTGTATCATTATTTGAAACTTATATTATATAGGACTAGCGTCTAGCACTGACCCGTGCACTTTGTTGCCCATAATACCACAATTTTAGTTTTATTTGTATCATAACTTTAATGTATACCATTAATTGTATTACAGTACAGTGTTTTATTTTTACTCTTAGGGTTATTTTTATTGAGAAAAAATTATCGTAGGTCTACCCCACCAAAAAGAAACGCTATAATATCCTAATAATATAAACTTGTAAAAATACATGATACGTACACACGACTTCGTTTTGAAGTAATTTCAAAAATCTATAATTTATTTGTTTGAAACAATTCTGAATAAATATTGAACATTTTAGACTATTTTGAAGTAAGAAAAATATACTGTGTTAATTTTACACGGAATAACAATGAAAATCAAAAGAAAATTAAGTTAAAAAAAATAAATAGTATATATTTTCTAGTATATTTAAAAATACATATTTTATAGCTCAAAACTTTAGGTTAGTTGTATATTTTGTAATTCTAATGTTTTGCCCATTTTTGGACTTGTGTTAATTCAAAAATGCTCATGTATGTCTAATATGTATCAATTTATGTCTAATGTGTCTCAATTTAAAACTTTCTAACTTTGCTGGTTCTACTGTGCTTGGTTTGGACTGTACTGGCTTGAAAATACTAACTACCGATTTGCGTCGAAGCGTTTTTTCGAAAGTGATTTTATCACTTTCAGATTTCCTGTAAACCTGTTACCTCCCCGTCCCCACTATGCCCCGACCCCACTGTACTGGTTTTTTTGATTATCTATTAACCTTGTGCTTACTTGGCATGTATACAAAAACCATGACGTCACATGATTGAAAGCGAAATCACCGTGACCAGAGGTTTAAAAATAAAATTGACCAATTCAATTGCATTTTCCATATCAACTATATTTGTTCTTGTTATAATATTTTGTTTGTTTAAGTCCGACTTTAACAAATCAATTTCACATATAAAATATTCATTCATTCGTTTTATTACAGACTCGAAAGACATTTTTAATTAAATAGAAATAACAATTTGAAACTAATAAGAAATAGCAATTTAGCACTATTTCAGTTTGAATTTTGATAATAATAACATAAAACGCGCGCAATTCAAACGGGACTATATAGATAACAGAATTGTTGGCGCGAAAATCATTTTGGCCTTATCATTAACGGATAAGGTATTTATTGATAACATCGTTCATTCTAATTTGAGTTTTCTAACTTGAAAAAAATAATTCTACTAAGTACTACTGTTTATTCGGTATTTTGTTTTTTTCTTTATTAAACCGTAATCGTGACTAGTTTATACTTTACGGTAGGTATATGTTATTATTTTGTTAAATAGTTTTTATTTTTGATTGTGATGAGGATTTCCTTTGTCAGTATAGACATTTAGGCGTATTTGTGTTCCTGCGTATTGATCGATCTGCTGATGTGATGAGAAATCTGAAAACACATTTAAATTTCTAAGGAATCTTTTCTAGGGGCGACAAGATCATATTATATAATTTTAAACTTAAAAGTGTCCAGTTTTCAATTATAAAATAAAATATCCCCAAAGAATTTTATTTTAGAAATTATAAACAAATGAAAAAAGTGGGTAGGCCGTCTCTTAGATAATGTAGAATTCAAATTTGTTTAAAAATTCCTTTTCACATCAGTAGATTTATCATCGAAACGTGTACTGTTAGAACAAAAATACGTCTAAATTGGTATGAATATTATGGACCGAAACAGAATATATCACTGTCCAATTGCCTTTAGTTTAAAATTTATTACAAAGCAAAATATGTTTTACTTGTAGACAAACACAATTGTTCAACATGTTTCCAAAGTACTCGCCACATAACATACCAATCAAAACTTTGAGCATTATGCATGAACATTTTCGAAACTTATACGGGTTCTTCAAGTAAGTTATGATTTATAACATAAATATAAGCGAATTTCTAAAATTATTTTATTTTGTTAAGTGTGTTTAAAATCTTTTTTTAAAAGAATTAAGGAGTAATAACAATATTTTTGTAAAATTGTTATTGTGTATTAGGTAGGTACTGATTTTTTTTGAAAGTTCTAGTATACAACGTTGATACTAAAAAATCACCCTGAATGTGTTGAAACACTATTTTTTTTATCTATGTATACTTTTATTATTTAGAACAATTTAGAGCTGTTTCGATGTTCCTCATGTACATGATCAACCAATAATTATACAAAATAAATACATTGGTTAAAACAAATTAACTTGTCAATATCTCATAGTCATCAATGGAGTACACAAATTTTGCTTTATTATTTGTAGTTTTTAATACATTTTTAATATATTAATTTAGTACATTTTTATGTCTTAAGCCTGTACTCATAATAATAAATATATAATAAAGATACATTTTTTACAGAGAGCAAACCTTATGTGATGTTATGTTGATGTTATGTTGATATGTGATGATGGCGTTCAAATTTCAGCACATAAAGTAATTTTAGCATCCGCAAGCCCTATGCTATTAAAAATGTTCGATGGTGGCTTTAAAGAGACCAAAGAAATTAGTATGCCTATTAAAGACATCGAGTCTGGTATTCTGAAGTCAATTGTAACGTGTGCATATACATTTCAGATGGATATCAATAATAATAATATTGAAGTAATATAATATACAAAACAGATACCAAATTATTTTCTTTGAACACATTTATTGTCATAATTTTAATATTTTTTTGTATTTTAGAAACTAGTAAGAGCTTCTGACTACTTTCAATTTAACTATGCTAAGGATTTGTGTTACGATTATGTTAAAAATAACATAAATGTCAGTAATTGTCTTAATATTATGAGATTTGCTGAACCTACGTCACTAAAAGGGCTGTACAATTATTGTTTCTTGTATTGTTTAGAAAATTTCAAGTATGTGTTTTAGATTGGTGTTAGTTTTGACATCATTTTATTCTAAATGTTTTATTCGTAGTACAATTCTAGAATCGCAAATAATACAATTATATGAATTAAATTTTGAAGATATTTTTAAAATCATATCAAATGATCATTTGATGGTTGAATCTGAAGAAAAGGTAAAAAATTACAATTTAATTAGATTATTTTTTTTTTGCAACAAGAAATTTCAGAAAAATCTGAAAGTAGATGAAAATTGTTAAGGGTTTTAGAAACACAAAGCATAAAATCAACTATTTTAATAATTTGTTAACTACAAATATAAATAAATGAGATCATTATTTTTAATTCTTATAACTCTATTAAATATACATTTGTCTCATCTTATTACCCACAGCTATTTTCTTATTATGATAGTACTTAATAATGATTATTAATTGTATATGATATTACAATTATGGTGTTAAAATTTGTTATAGATCATTGATTTCATTTTTGAATGGATAAAATATGATTTAGAGGAACGAAGGAAATATTTATCAAATTTACTGAATTATTTAAGGTTACCTTTAGTTTCAAAAAAAGCATTACTACGTATATGTGATGAGCCATTAATGAAAAGCCAATATGACTGTGAGTATTTAAACCGATGCCGATCCCACTATTATGTATATCATATAAATATTGGATTATTTTACAATTCAAATTTTCAACTATTTTCATATTGCATATTAGTGTTTCATAATGGTATTTTTTAATATTAGCTTAATATTTCTAGGTTTGATAGATATCAAAAATAATTATTTATCTGTCGATGTTGATGAAAACATTACAAAAGCGACAAAGAGGACACCTCATTTGTATAAACCAAATGTATAAAAATATATTTTTTTACAACTTATTTGTAGCATCTTACTTAGTAAAAATACTTTATATTAATCAATGTTACGTTTTTTAATATTGTAGCAATACATCTATTATGAAAATTGAAATCAAACACAAATGTTTCAATAATTTTTTATAAAATTACTAATATAAATTATTTTTGTTAAACATATTTTTGCTGTGTAAGATATCTATAGAATACGTTTTACATTTGTAGAAAATAAAATATTTAATTATTTGTTTTCAGATTATTTTCGCAATTAAAGGTCAATCAAATGGTGACGATTCTTATGTAATGTATATGGATCTGAGGTGTGAAAATAATCTTAATTGAAAATCATGTGATTATTCATTTTTTTGTCCACCCCGTCGTGGTGCAACTTTGGCCGTTTCGGAAACTGGAATACTACTTGCAATTGGTGGTCTTAATAAATCAGAAGAATACAGTAATTGTGTTTATGAACTTGATCTTACTTCTACACCAAAAACGTGGATACCTACAACGCCTTTGCGAAGATTAAGAAAATTGTTTACTGTTTGCACTCAAGGAAAGTATATTTACGTGGTGTGTATCAATTTCGGTTATTCGTAAAACAATATATCTGAGTTAAACAATACATGTGATACATTGGAAAAATATATATTTAATATGTGTCATTACGTTCTATGCCGCATAGGTAGGAGGTCAAGGTACTTTAGGTGAATTAGTATTGAACTCAGTAGAATATTATGACATATATTCAAAGGAATGGGCCGAAATAAAACAGCCAATGCCAAACGCTCGGAACTCATGCAGTTCTATAATTCACAACTCTTGTTTATATGTTGTAAGTATGAAATTTTATTTAATCTGTTGTATACATGTATAGATAGTAATAGTTTAATATATAAGTTTTTAGAAAGTGACAGTTTTAATAGGTTTACTGTTTTGTATACATGATTTATGTTATATTAACATGTAACGCAGTGTTTTACTTAGGTGACATATAAAATCTGATATTAGGCTAAATTAATCTTAATTAATAAATTAAACTAAACCTTAGGTTTTAAATCGTCCCCAATAGTACCAGTATCCTATTTACCCAAACAAAACTAGCCAACAACCCAACAAGGCTATGAAATAAAAATAACTTCAAAACCTAAATAAGACTTGGAGATATCAATGTACTATGTAGTAGTAAAGAGTGCTTGAAGTACAAGACAAACGGTGGACACAGTTTAACCCGATACAAACAGGCAACAGCTTCTGCTTTAATAGACATTACAAGCAGACCAAACAAAAAAAAAAAATTGTAAATGTTTTTATATTTATTGCAATTGATTTTTTTCTATGAAGTTTGGCGGAAGTGATGGTAAAAACTTTTCAAGTATTGTTGACTGTTATAATCTACAAAAAGAACATTGGACGCAGTGTAATCCTATGCCAACAGCTACTGCTACAACAGGCATTACAAGTAGAGGAAACGATTTATATTTATTTGGCGGTATTCCTTATTCAACATCCAAAGGTGCTTACAAAATGAACTTAAATAATTCAAAATGGGATACGCTTCCTGATATGATCAAGGCAAAAATGTATGCGAGTAAGTGAATAATAATGTTTAAGAAGTATTGTCTTAGTATAAAATTTATTAGTTTTATCATATTCGAATCTATCTATTTTGTCATTAGCTATCTGACGTTTCAAACCTATTGCAGTTTTAGAGCGATTGTTTACGTTTCACAATTTTTGTGACTATACAGTAGTACGGTGGCTATCGCTTTACACAGCAGTTGGTTAAATCATCAGTGTAAATGGTGACAACATTAATAGATTTATAACACTTTATTTTAAAATGCAGATGCCGTTACTATTGAAAACGATTTATTTGTTGTGGGAAAAAATATCAACTGGCGGTCCACAAAAAATGAGAAAAGACCTGAGGTAGTCTTTTGTGAAAGATATATTGCTGAAAAAAACACATGACAAGTGATTAACACATCAAATATATTAAGCGACTATGATCACATAATTTGTCTTAATGATGCGAGATTGAAAACATTTAATATTGACATTTTATAAAAATGTAAATATAATATACTATGAAATTATAAAAACAAATTTAGTAAAATAAAATCAAAACTGATTAAAACTGTGCAGTTCACAGTATAAATATGTAATAAATATCCTTTATACACGTTTAATCTGTAATATTTTTTGCTGGTTAATTAAAAATATAGGTAGTGGTCATTAAAACCGACCTTAAGTCTTAAAAATACTCCTGAATCATGATAAATATAACAAGTTTTTACTCCTTATAGAAGAATGAGTTAATGTTAATTTTTTGGTTTTTAATGTATATTGGTAGTACTATCTAAAAAAAATGTACACCTATTTGTAACTGAACTAGCTATATTAGTCAGTCCAATAGTTAAATAATTATTATTACTCCAAACTCAAAGAGAAAAAGAAATATCGTTGTAAAATTAATTTAACTTATTTTGATGGATTAAAATGTCAGTTTCACATGTTGTTTGATAGCCAATTACCTACCAATTAACCTACCTGTCCAACACAACCGATTTATCTGCTCTGTATGATGCTAGTTTACCAAAATCACTTAATTTGTTGTTAATATTTTGGCACATCACAAACGCCCTTTACACAACCTCTGAGGTTGGCGTTTTCATTACAACTATTTATAAGGATACCTTAGCTTGACTTTTTTTATTGATGCCACAAGTAAAACAATACTTGCTGTCCACTAACTAAAATATTGTGTTACTTAATGTACGGCTCAAGTTATAGTTGAGGTTAAACAAATCGAAAAAATTGACCAATACGAAATAATATTCTATCATAAATAACTAGAAATTTGTGGGTTTTTTTTTAAACGTATATTTGAATTATAATATTCAGTTGATAATTATAAAATAGTATTTAATAGCTGTACAGATTTTGTAATTTTATAATATTTTTTTCAGCCATAAAATATACATTCTCATTTTGTGTTTTGATTTTTTTTTTTTTGGTCTGGAACCTAAGTATTTTTTAAACCGCTGAACCGATTTCTTCATGTAGCAACTCTAAAAACCAGAAATCGCAACTGAAAGGCCAACCATTTTAAAAAGTCAACCCTTCCCCTTTAAACACGAGAAAAAACCACAAAAAATTTACATATTTTTCAACTTAGATTTACAGCGCTTCATAACTTTTTGGACAAAAGTTAGATCTAGAATTGAACTATGACGTGTACAATTTTCTCAATAATTGTTATTATTGATGTTTATTATTTTATTTCTAAACTTACCAAAACCATACTTTATACTTACTATACCATACTCATTACAACTACTCACTTACGTATAATACTTTCTTACTGTGCTTGCTTTATGCTGGAACAATCTTTATACTAAACAAATCAAAATTGACCAATACGAAATACTATTCTATCATAAATAACTAGAAATTTGTGGGTTTTTTTTTTAAACGTATATTTAAACTATAATATTCAGTTGATAATTATAAAATGAGATTTAATAGCTGTACAGATTTTGTAATTTTTAAAATGTGTATTTCACAATTTGAATATTTTATTACGCGAATAACTGTTGCGGCTGTGGATGAGGTGTTTCGAGTTCTATGTCGGCTGGTTTTTCAATTATTCTAGACAGATAATTCGTTTTATAGTATGGATTTGTTTACATTTTCTTGGAATTCGTTACGGTACGTACGTAACACGGGTTTTATCATTTACCGCATCGTACTCGAAGCCAACAGAGTCCCAGAGTTCACTTAAGCTCGAGTTGACGTTAAAATGTATCAGATCTTTAATTTGTCGCATTACGTCGAGGGGCTCAAATATTCCATGCATACCCCGGATATATAGCCTAATTCCGTTAATTTTATGGTTTTCATTCGGTCTGCAAAAATCATCATAGAACCTACCCAAGCGTCGCAAGGCGGTGTTCATATTATTTTCGGTAGCACTGATTATCGAGTCGTGGTAAATTTTGTCGTCGGAATCGTTATCGAAAAACAAGGTGCTGTAGAACCTCTTGAAATCTTCCAACGTTTCTGTCACATACTCGTCGTACGGTGTTATTGGGAACACTTCGGTGATACACGAAAGCGTGGCCAGAACGCGCACCACGAGCCGGTCGATTTCGCTGATCATTTGCCTAAACCGGGTTATACATACCGCGGTTGTGGCGGGATCTCCGATGTCCTTACACTCGAGCACTGCGCCCAAATTGTAATGGTAACACTTCTTCAGAGTGCTGGCATACTGACAGCTGAAAAGCTGATGTGCTAGACGGATTTTATTACCCGCGTTTCTGACGGTGACTAGTGGGTGGCCGTTATTGCGGTCGGTTTCTAGTATATCTTTGACGGACAAAATGCGGCGGGTTCTTCCTCTCATCCACGGCACGACTAGCTTGAAACGTCTATGTTGCGGTAAATTCCTCCAACCGGGTAAATTGAATACATAATTCAAAGCGTTTACTTGATACGGCGTTACCGACTCTGCTGCTACTAAAGCGGCCGTGTAAATCGTTAAAAAAATTAAAAAAATATGTTGTCCGGCTTTCATTTTTTCGTCAACGACGATCACAACGCTCTTGAAGTACACAGACTTGACTAATATCCGTTGTAGAAAAATGTACACCGACGATTTAATAAAAGCCGAACAAAGGAAAATTGAGAGATATTAAATTCTTTATGCGGTATGTACAAACTAGACATCGGTTAAAATTAATTTTGATACTCGTCAATCGGGTTCGCTGCATATGAATATTTGTTCAGATGTTGCTATGAACTTGAAATAAAAAAACACAAAAGTAATTGGTGGTTAAAATGAATTTTTTTTTTACAAAAAGAAATTTGTAGTTTGATTTTTGGTCGAAAAAAAGTTTTCATTAAAATTATTTTTATATACCTAGCTATAATATTATCATATATAACATACTAAATACTAATACATTGTATGCTACTTTACACCTTTAGGCTTTAGTCACATAACTATAGTAAATGTTAAAACTATTTATTTTCTTGCATTTTAGAACCCTGATTTTACATTAATTATAGATGAATTTTTAAATGTAGGATACTCAAGTACAAATACATAGGTTTGAAAAAAAAACAGATATGTGTAACGTTCTGATGACTTAGGCTCAGCTGAGTTTGATATTATAAAATAAAATTCAATTAAAATCAAATCAAAGTTATGTTATAGACTTATGTCTATAAAAAAATTGTAAAATGTTTCTAGACAACAGCTTGTGTTTATATACAAAAGACCTAAATTAACTTCAACATGTTCTTAATAAATTTGTTTTCCCAAGCTCAAACTCAAAGTATTTAATTTTGTCTTTTATTATGTCCTGAACCCAGAAAATACCATTAACTCTTTTTACCCATTATATTTATTTGGCAAAGTTTAAAAACTTAATGTATGAAAACTAAAGTACCTTTCCTGATGCAGAGGAAATAATTAAGTCTACTACCTTATTCCCGTCTATAGATAAACTTAGACCTTTCAAGGTTGATGATACTATAAAAAAAAAGTGACAAGAAAAAAACTATATATACTTTTTACGACCATGGCCAAAATAATCATACATCATAATCTGATAGTTTATATAAATGACAAAACATTGTACGAATTTATCGAATTGTATTTTTTAGTTTTTGTATGTACTCATATTATACTAACATAAAGTTAAAATAAACCAGTACAGCGGGGTCGGGGCATAGTGAGGACGGGGAGGTCATAGGTTTACAGGAATTTTTTAAATCTGAAAGTGATATAATCACTTTCGAAAAAACGCTTCGATGCAAATCGGTAGTTAGTATTTTCAAGCCAGTACAGTCCAAACCGAGCACAGTATAAATCAGCAAAATTAGAAATTATTAAATTGAGGTTCTGTATTTACAAATAAGCATCAAAGCGTTAATTTGAAAGTGATTTTATACAAGAGGACTAGTACAGTAGGGTACAGCGGAATCAAAGCAACGAGGGAACGGAGAGGTCACAGGTCTACAGAAATTAATATAAATAAAAGTGATAAAATTGAATAAAATGGTAACATGGGTAGACGTTACCAACCGACAGTTTTAAAGTTTGTTCGTTTCTCTGGTACACCGTGTTTGTATATCTCGAAATTATAGCCAGTTAAAGTTCTAACTTGTAAACTCATACGGTTTTTTTTGTTTTTTCAAATTTCGACTGTGAAGAAGTAAACTTATTCAACTTTTACCCCCCCCCCCCCCCCAAGTACCAACTAGACGAAATTTGTGATTTATAGAGTTACTACTCAAAGGAATTGGTCCAGTATTAAAAAAGTTACAGTGTATACAGATAAAAAAAACACACATCAGAGAAAAACCAATACCTTTTCGCTTTGCATCGAAGCTAAAAACAATATTTCATAAATTGACAATTTTCACTAAATAAACTGGCGCAACGTTCTAGGGCTGTGTACATAGTTGTTTTAATATATGTATATTCTTTTGAAATGGATTTTTCGTAGGTATTTTTCGATATTCGTATGATAAATATCGAGTTTTAGAAAAACAAGTCAATCCAACTACAAAATATAAAAAAAAACCTGAAATATGCCAAACTATTATTTTTGAATTTGGATTTTTTGAAAATTGAAATGTAATTCACAGCCTATATAGCCATTTTTTGGACCATTCAATAGAACCTGCAAATGCACAAATTTCTGGGCGCTATTAAAACTTTATAATATGATATCCAAGTATCCCAGAAAGGCATGAACGTGTCATATTGTAAGCATTAATCGACGGACAGTCACTGCACTGGTCAGTAATGCTATGACGTATTGTTCACGGGTACCGTTCAAGTTTAATGAACTAACTTTTTTTAAGTAATACGTGAGCCCAACTTAAATACAAATTTACTTATTCGGTGAATATTATTTCTATTGGTACATAGGTATATTTCTTAGACATAATATCTTTTATATGTTATTTGGAATACATTGTTATTAGAAAAATATGAAAGTTGATACACAATTATGATAAACAAAGATGAACATTTTACAATATACACAAATTAGTGAGCATATG